TGTATATTTTTTCTTTTATTTCCCTTGCCCGAGGGGATATATCAGTAAAAATATTACTGAGGGTAATGTCCGCAAATTTACTCCCTATGTTTTCTTCTAGGAGTTTTATGGTTTCAGGTCCTACATTTAAGTCTTTAATCCATTTTGAGTTTGTTCTCATGTATGGTGTAAGTAGCTGGTCTATTTTCTTTTTTTATTTCACGTGTCAGTCCAATTTTCCCAGCACCACTTATTAAATAGACTATCTTTACACCAATGTAAATTCTTGCTTCCATTGTCATAAATTAAATGACCATGTATGGATGGGTTTATTTCTGGGCTCTCTATTCTTTTCCATTGGTCTATGTGTCTGGGTTTTTTTGCCAGTACCATACTGTTTTGATTACTATATAGACTTGTAGTATAATTTGCTGTCAGGTAGCGTGATACCTCCCACTTTGTTCTTGTTTCTCAAGATTGCCATGGCTATTCGGGGTCTTTTATAGTTCCATATAAATTTTCGGATTATATGTTCTATTTCTGAGAAAAATGTTCTTGGTAGTTTGATAAGAATTGCATTGAATCTATATATTGCCTCAGGTAGTATCGACATTTTAACTATATTAATTTTTCCTATCCATGAACATGGTATGTATTTCCATTTATTTGTATCTTCTTTGATTTCTCTCTTCAGTGTCTTATAATTTTCTGAGTACAGGTCTTTTAGTTCTCTGGTTAATTTATTCCTAGATATTTTATTGTTTTTGAAGCAATTGTAAAAGGGATTGATTTCCTGATTTCTTCTTCTGATAGTTTAGTTTATTATTGGTGTATACAAATGCAACTGATTTCTGAATATTAATTTGGTGTCCTGCTACCTTACTATATTTATCAGTTCTAACAGTTTTTTGGTGGAGTCTTTGGGATTCTCTATACATAGTATCATGTCATCTGCATATAATGACAATTTTACTTCCTCCTTTCCAATTTGGATGCCGTTTATTTCATTTTCTTGTCTGACTGCTGTGGCTAGAACTTCCATAACTATGTTGAATAGAAGTGGTGAAAGTGGGCAGCCTTGTCTTGTTCC